CCCCAGGGTCCTACCACCAGCCATCAGCCCAATTCTAACCCTGCAGCCACACCTACACCTGGCTTGTTCTCAACCATGAAGGTGAGATCAGTTCAGAAATGGGAAAAAAAAAATCCCAAAGGTGTGTGTGTGACATCAGGGTGGGGGTGGGGGAGTGAGAGGGAGAAGTGTCCACTTCCAAGCAGAACCCTAGGCAGGACTGGGCCCTAGGAAGACCCTCCACAGTGGCAGGGAGGCCCCACTTACCTCCTCCTCACTGAACCTGTCTGCCTGGGTCATGAGCTTCTCCTTGATGCTGTGTAAGGAAGAGAGATGCTCAGGGGAAGGACTTCCCGGAAGTGGGCACCCCTGACGCTAGGGGGTGAGGGCAGGGACACCGGGGGACCCCTGGCTCAGGAAGTTACCAGCCTGGACTTGGGCCTGGTTCTTGTAGCCCTTGGCTGGCTTGAGCAGGCCACTCCTGTTCCCTGACCCTCAGTGCCTTCGTCTGTCCTGGCGGTTCTACCCTGGCCGTGGTGGCGGCCAAATGAAACAGCCTGAGCACATAAAATCACCCTCTGACATCTCCCTGTGCTGGTACCAGCCTCTGGGAGTCTGGGTGGTGCAGTGGGACCTGCTTTCTTCAAGGTCATCGGTTGGAAACTACCAGCCATTCAGAGGGAGAAAGAGGAGGCTCTCTGCTCCCTTAAAGAGTTACAGTCTGGGAAACCCCAGGGGGCAACTCTAGCCTGTCCTGTAGGGTCGCTACAAGTCAGCCTTGATGGCTGTGAGTTTCTGAATGAGGTCCCTGTGGGGCAAAGACCTGCTGTGTCTCAGCTCTGGACACAGCTTGGCCCGCCTGCAGATGACCCCTGACATCGGCCTGGGGTTTGTCTTCACAGCCCTGGAAGGTACTGCCACCAGCCCCCTTTGTCCCTGGGGGGACCCTGAGCTCAGGGAGAGGGTTGGTTTGCCCAGGGCCCGGGGAGCAGGCAGGGGCAGGGACACAGCTGCTCTGGAGAGCTGGAGCTGGCCCGCGTGCAGGGTGGGCTGTGCCCACTGCTCAACGGGTCCCTGAGGGCTGCCCGGGGCACCCCAGGCAGGGTGAGATCAAAGGGCTGAGGCGGCCTCCCACACCCAGCGTGTTGGCTGGCGCTGCAGGGGCAGGCCCCCTGAGGACCGACACACATTTTCCATTATTTACGTTTCTGCGGGACAGTCCCCGTTTCCAGCCAACTCTCCAAATGGGGACTTCTCAGACGCTGCAAAACATGCCGCCCAGCGAAGGGCCTCCACCAGGGTCACTCTGGCCGCCTGGCCGGCCGCCCAGCTCTCAGGTCTCATATCTAGGCCGAGGGGGAGGAGTGGCACCTCGGCCCCCACACTGGGTCCCCAAAGCCTGACCTTGTGCTGGTTGGGGGTGAAGGTGGCTGAAGGACACCAGAGGTGCCCCCAGAGTCCCCCAGGTCCTCAAGGTGGGGGGAGGAGCCATAGACTCCCAAGGAGGGGTGAGGAAGAAATCCCCACAGCCCCTCCCTGTACCAAGGGAGCGTGGGACTCAGAGCCGGGGTGGGGATGGGAGGTGGAGAGCCCCTCTTCCACGGACGGAGCAAGTCTCTCCTCCATGGGGAAACCCAGAGCATCATGGTCCTTCGCCAGGAAGCCTGTGTCCTCAAGGGCTGCATGGCCTTGGAGGCTCTAGGGGAATGCGGATTGACAGTGCAGATGCCAGCCCAGCCCACGTCTCACCGCCGGCAGGCTGCTGCCCCACATCAGGCTTGGCTCCCGTATCCCGTGCGCGCAAGGCCCTGACTCCAACCCCTGGCTCCAGTTCAGAAGCCCCCAGTCACCTCCAACTCAAAGCACGCTTCCTCACCTCCTCCAGGCTGGCCTCCAAGTAGCCCCTGACTAACTCCTTCTCTGGCTTGCCAATGACCCCTGGGCAGGCCCGGGGTCCAGGACCCAGTAGACAAGTGCCCCTGCTGCAGATCCAGCCTCTCCCATCTGTGCTCAGTCTCTGCACCCCCATCTGCCTGCACCCCCTGCCTCAGGGAACCCTTCCTCACGGACCCCACACATCCTGGGCCTCCACCCTTCGCGAGGCTTGCACTCACCTTCAAGGCTCATCTGGGTTACTCCCACCCCTGGGAGGCCTGCCCCAGGTGACAACCATAGAGAGGTGGGAGGACTAAGGCCCAGAGAGGGAGCACCAAGCACTCTTGGGGAGTGAAACCCCCCAAGCAGGGAAAGGTGACTTACAACTCAGCCTTCACGAAGCCTTTCCCTTCGGTGTCAAACACCTTGAAGGCGTGGAGGATGGTCTCCTCGGGGTCGGTGCCTGGAAACAGCACAGGGGCAGAGGGAGGGCAGGTGAGGAAGGGTCCACACGCAGAGAAAGGCAGGGCTGGGCAGGGACTGGGTGCGTGGGGCCCAAACCATGGGCTCTGCAGGGACCGGGAGAGAGCTTCGTCCCCACGGTCCTGCCCACAGCGGGCCAGAGCCCATCTGAAGCACTCGTAGGATGGTTCAGGTGGTAACAATAATAGACAGGGCCCTGCAAGTGGCTGTCAACAACCTACACAACCGAACATGGAGACCCTGCCTGAGTATCCACTGTGTGCCAGCCCCTGAGAACAGTCCCTAGGCAACAGATGGAGAAACTGAGGGTCAGCATTTCTGTCACTTGCCCCAGAACGTACAGCTAGTCTTGCTGCCTCTCTGCCTTCAGGAGCCCTCCTTTCTGCCACTCTGTACTTCTCCTCACAGCAGGCCCAGGTCTCATCCAACAGGGTCAAGGTCCTCTGTGTCTATACCACCAAACTGGGTCAGGGCCCTCTGAATCCACATTGGACTGGATCAAGGCTTTTGTATCTCTACCATCAGACGATGTCAGAGCCCCGTGTCTCCACCACCAGACTGGGTCAGGACTGTGGGTCGCTCCTATCAAACTGGGTCAAAGTCCCCTGTACCTCCTCGATCAGACCAGATAAAGGTCCCTCTATCGCCGAGGCCCTCTGTGTCTCCCTCACCAGACCAGGGCAGGGCCTTCTGTCCCCGGCATTGGGTTGGGTCAACGCCCCTGTGTCGTTGCCATCAGAGAATCAGGGCCTTCTGTCACCCTGCGGCATAGTGCATGGCTTCATATGACCCTTCTGGTTAGAGTCTTGTGAATCCCACAAAATGCCAGGTGGAATCATGCAAGTAAAGTAAGAATGCAAATACGGTGCATGGAACCCTAGCAAGGAGCCCTGTCTGGCTTGCCATGTTGCCGGCCTTAGAGAGAGCTGATTCCAGACGCAGAGAGGAGTCCAGAAGTGGAGAAGGGTCCTGACTCCCATGAAGAGAATAGCCAGGAGTGAAGTGCTTCCTTCGGACTCAGGATCCCTGTACAGAGACCCTTCCCCTCAGCCCCGACGCGTCCCCGTCTGGGGCAGTCACAGCCCCAGGAACCACCCCCAGCGACTGCCTGGTGCTATCAGGACCCAGTGGCGGTTCTGACTCCGATGGGCGGCACCAGCTCATAGCCTGCCCCACTTGAAGGGCGGGCCCCGGGCCACACTGGCCTTCCGTTTCCTCATCCCTGACCAAAGGAGGAGGTCCTGGGCAATAGGACATAGCTGGCCGCCTTCTTGCTCCAAGATCAGCTAGGACATTCCGTCAAGACTCCAGCAAAAGTTTCATGATTAAAAAAAAAAAAACAAGTCCAGTTTGTGATGATCTATAAGTACATCCCCGTTTTACAGACGAAGAAACTGAGGCCCCGAGAGGAATAGCGTGCCTTGTTCAAGGTCACCCCGGCAGTCGGCGGAAGACCGGGAGGCTCAGGGATAGTGTCAGGCAGGGCAGTGTGAGGAGGGGAGTGAGGATCGCCACCTCACAGGGCAGTCACAGCCCAGCTGGCTCTTCCTTTAACCCTGAAACCTGCCAGGGCAGTCACTAGGGGACAGAGATAGCCTGACCCCAACCCTTGTTCCTGGCCAGATGCTATGTTTCAGAGTGCAGTGATTAGAGACAGGTGCTGGCACATTGTGTGTGTGTGTGTGTGTGTGTGTGTGTGTGTGCGCGCGCGCGCGGGCACTCTAGCATATACATACATGGGCCCAATTTTCACTGGACCACCTGGGACAAGTACCCTAACCTCTCTGCCCTGTCTCCTCATTTTTGAATGACCAAGCTCTTTGCCAGCCCACTGGTGGTCAGCAGGCCAAGAAGCAGTCCTGCCTTGGGCTGGCCATCAGAGCTTCCAGAAGAGGTATAATGGCATCCCTGGTAGCCAGAGGGCAGGGAGGCAGCATGGGCAGAATGAAATGGAGGCAGGGATTGAAGAGGGTGGTGCCCTGAGGGTGAACAAAGGGCTTTGACCCACCTTGTTTCACCGGGTCCCCTCCCAGCCCTCTGATGGAAGAGTTATTCAAATTACACCCACTCTGCAGTGCAAGGGGGCACCGAGGCAAGGAGAGGGCACGCCACTTTTGTGTCTGGCGGGGGGTGGGGGATGGAGGGCTGCTCTGCCCACTGAATCCCCTCCCCAGGGCTTCCTGGGCCTCACTCACCCTTCAGCTTCTCCCCAAACATGGTGAGGAAGACGGTGAAGTTGATGGGACCAGGAGCCTCCTTCACCATGGCCTCCAGCTCCTCGTTCTTGACATTGATGCGGCCTGGAGGTGGGAGAGGACCATCAGCGGGGCCGGAACTCCTTGGCTCCCAGCTCTAGCATCCTACCTGCTGGGGGCTCAGGGCAGGGAGCAGCCTTCAGCCCCAAGCCAGTAAAAGGCTGCCCTGCTCCGCCCCCGCCCTTCATTATCACTCTGGGTCATTATCCCCATTTTATTTCTTTATTAACAGGCTTATTGGCACAGAATTTACATACCATAGAAGTCAATCATTCAAGGAAAAGTGTACTATCATTATCACATCCATTTTAGAACACCCCCCACCCCCCGCAATGGTTAAATCACCTTTAAAATGAGTTGTCCAGTCCATTCCAGCGCTCCCTCCCCGCACGATCCCCCTTTTACAGAGGAGCAAACTGAGGCCCAAAGATGCTGGGAATCTTGAGACAGCAGCTGCATGCTAGGCTGGAGGCCAGCTTCTCTCTGGACCTTAGCCCCTGGGCCCCAGGAGGGGTCAGCGCGAGGCTGGGGAGACAGGGGGCTGGAGGCAGGGCACTCTGGGACTGCTCGAGGTCCTAGTGAATGGTCAGAGGAGAAGGGCCAGCTCTCTGTAGTAGAGATGACTCGTTCACACTCCCCTCTCCTGTCATCTCCTTAAACACCCTTCCCAGGTGTTTTGCTTTTAGGAAAGCCAACGACCTGCCAGGTCCAGGTGGTTCTGACTCAGGTGGCCCTGCAGCAGCACAGAGCACCAGGCTCCAGAGGCCGGAAATCCTGCCAGGAGCAGATGGCTGCTCGTGGCTTCAAACTCCCGACCTTTCTGTTAGCAGCCCACCGCCTGACCCAGTGCACCACCAGGGCTTTGGGCCCTTTAACAAAAAAAACAAAACTCTGCCATATGGTCGATGCCGGCTCATGGTGACCCTAGAGGGCAGGGCAGACCTGCCTCATGAGTTTCCGGGACTGTGACTCTTTAAAGGAGTAGAAAGCCTCCTCTTTCTCCCTCTGAGCTGGCTGATGGTTTTGAACCGCTGCCCTTGCGGTTAGCAGCCCAGTGTGTAACCACTCCACCAGCATGGCCCCTAGAGGATGCCAACGCTTCTCCTAGCATTGGAAGCCGCCTATCCCTGGGCTCTGCCACGGTCGCCAGCCCCTCTGCTTCTCCCTTCCAGGTCAGGACTTCCTGTGGGCTATTCCCAGACCAGAGACACCTTGCCTTCTGGGTCCAGACCCTTCTTGGTTTGGGGGCCCAGTTCTAACCCCCCAGTAAATGCACCCTGACTTCCCAGGAGCGCCCCTCCCTCCCTCTAACACCTGTGCCCCAGCACTGGCAGTACCCAATATTCTAGGTGCCCACAGCTGAGCCTTTGGAGCCCCCGCCAGAGCACCCCCTCACGACCGGGCACCCACTCAGCGCAGCTCATCAGCGGCCATCAGAGGTGCTTGCTGCCTGACCGTGTGACCCAGGTCCCTTACCCAGAGCGGCAAAGGTGTCCCTCAGGTCCTCCTTGTCGATGAAGCCATCCCGGTTCTGGTCCATGATGGTGAAGGCCTGGCAGAGGCGTGCACACTGAGCAGTCATTGCCACCCCGAGCCCAGTTCTACCCCGGTGCCCCTCCCCCAGTGCCTGTGGCCCCTGCCAAAGGTTGTCCTCCTGTGATCTGCTGTCTGAGAAGCTTCAAGTCCATTACCTCCTGCGTGTTCACACCAAGCCCAGTTTACAGACAGGGAAACCGAGGCTCATAGAGAAAGGCCAAGGCCACGCTGAAGGCAAAGGCTTAAGGTGCAGACAGGCGACAGGGTTACCCAAGGCAGAACGGCAGGTGTCTCTAGACCAGTGGTTCTCAACCTTCCTCGTGCCGCTACCCTTTCAGACAGTTCCTCATGTTGTGGTGACCCCCCAACCATAAAATTATTTTCGTTGCTACTTCATCACTGTCATTTTGCTACTGTGATGAATCGGGCGTCCCCTGGGAAAGGGTCATTCGAGCCCCAAAGGGGTCACGACCCACAGATTGAGAACCGCTGCTCTAGACTCTAAAGCGCCCCTGGTGGCCGCTGAGGTGAATGTCAGCTTGCTCCATCCCCACCCGCACCCCACCCTCCTGCACCCGGGGGGTGAGGTCTGGCACGGTGCTAGGCTCCCTAAACATGCTACATGCACTACATTCACCCTCCCAGCATGCCCAGGGGAAGCGGACCAACTGACCTCCTTAAACTCCTGGATCTGGGACTGATCAAACATGGAGAAGACGTTGGAGCTGGCTCCACCCTCCGCTCTTTTCCGGGCTCTTCTGGGTCCCTGTGAGGCACAGGTGAGCCCGCGCAGCAGCTTCTTCCTTGGGAGGTCAGCCGCCACCCCCACCCCATCACCCAGAGCAGCCCAGCCCCGCAGGGCCCGCTGCAGCCCTCAGGCACCACCACAGACTGACAGGCTGGTACCGGAAGCCTGAGGGGCAGCCAGGGTATCCTCCCACATGACCTCGCACCTGCCCATCGGGCCAGACCCAAGCCCCGCTGCCCCACAGGTGAGTGAGCGGAGCTCAGGGTATGGAGCCAAGAGAGGGGTGGTTTCTAGAATCAGTCTCCACGGGGCTTCCACCCAAGGCAGGAGGAGAACTCACTGCCATCAAGCCCGTCCCGGCTCATTGCGACGCTCTAGGGCAGCAAGGGACTGCCGGGCGGATTGCCGAGACCCGAGACGAGACCGTGACTGAACTCTCTGGGAGTAGAAAGCCTCGTGACTGAACTCTCTGGGAGTAGAAAGCCTTGTTTTGTTCTCAGAGTGGCTAGTAGTTTTGAATAGCTGACCCTATACTTAGCCTAAATCCTAGCCCGCCAGGACTCCCTAGGGAGCTTCAGAAACAGGACCCCATCCTTGGCATCCAGCTGCTTAAACCTTCCCTAGTGCCCACAAGGGAGCCCCGGGGATTGTCGTGGTAACATGTGGGCCTGTAATCACAAGGTCAGCAGTTCGAAGCCCCCAGTTGTTCTGAGGGAGAAACGTGAGGTTTTCTACTCCCACACAGACTTACCATCTCGGAAACCCACTGGGCAAGCTCTGCTGTCCTGTGGGGGGTTTGGGGCAGCGAGTCTGTTGTTTGGTTGGCGAGCCCCCAGGAGAACGTCTTGTGTCTAGGATCCTTGCCCCCCACCCCC